AAGTACTATACCTGGTAGCTGCACTATAGCTACCCTGGGTCTCTATAGGACCGCATAGTGGTCCCAAAATGGAAGCCGCCGTAAGCCACCACGAGTCATCACAACCACAACGCCTGGTCTCAGGCCACCTTGAATTTAGCTTGAAAAACTGTTTCTTTGAACAAAAGGGTTTCCTATGTGTCGGCAGAACAAGACATGAAACAGATTTGACACGCGGCCGCAAGCGGCTGCACGAGCTCATTTGATTGCTTCGACGCACACTTGTCGAGAAAGGGAAGCGCTGGCTTTCGTTTTGCAGCTTCTCATGTCCTACAGTATCCATTTATTTCATATGGGATTGGTACTGGAGGAATCGGTTCGCCTCCGTCGATTCCCGTTTCCGTCGCTTTTTCTGGCAGGTCACCTGGTCGAAGGCAACACTTGCGGATCAGATTCGCATGTCCGGTCGCCTGGGAAGAGGGAGGTACTGCTCAGATACCAAACGCCCACCCCGAAGAGTTCTTTTCAGAGGCTTACACCCTGGAAGATTAACATGAAACCTGAAAACAAACCTTTGGAAAACGATTTGCCTCTACCACCAGGCAGTGATTTTCAGGTTCCAAGTGAACCTCCCAGGGCGGAATACCCCATTTCACGACCGGCTGACCGCAGGGTGGAAGAATGCCACGATCGGTGTCCGATCCAGGTGACCGGTGACCCGCTGCTGTGTGGCTCCGTGACCAACGCTGAGGCCTGCAGCATGTGCAGTGCTCCAGGCTCCATTGGGACGACGTGCCCCTGAGATTAGTGCGGGCGCTCGATTCGCTTGGTGCAGAAAACGGGCGCCAGTGGTGGAGAAAGAAGACCACAAAAAAAGCAAGCAGATTATGCATATCTCGACATATAAGTATCAAATCAACCAGATTTAGGTCACTGTTTAACAGGCTATCAGGGATCACTTTTCTCAATTCTTGTGGGTCAGTAAACAGACAGATCAGGGTGGCAGAAGAATGGCCCAGAACTGTTTGCCTCAAACCAAGTTCATTTGAGGCACATTTTGAAGTGGAAGGAAGGGTGTTCGGTGTTCAAATGGTTCAGTTGGCCAACTTGATGTGCAGCGCTATAAGTCGACATAGATCATATTTTGCTCACCTGTGTCGGTCCCCTTGGATGTGAGGGGGTTGTTGAGGCATGGAGAAACATTTTGTATTGTATTTACTAACGCAGCACTGACATGTTCCGTGGCCATGTTTCACATCCTCTGGGAAAGGGTGCTGCTGCTCGCATTTCAGGGTTTTCTTATTACTGGACTGGAGTTTCATGGAATCATAATGTACCAATGAAGGCATTGAGTCATGCTGAATACACAGCTTGGATGTTTGTTGTTTTCGGTAGCAGTCATGCCTATGATCCATGATGTGCACCATGTATCATTTCTCCGAATCACTTAGTGAATGGTGCCTCGGCAAGGCTCAAGTCAGGAAGCTCAGCCATGTCCAACGCATGACGCATCCAAGACAGATGGGTTGGGTATCACAAAACTACTTTGCCCGTTTATGCCCAGTGGCAGGCGGAGTTTCCGTATAAGCATCGGGATTTGGTCCCAAGTACTGCAATTAGCTTTTGTTCACTTGGCGGATTATAGGCTCAAGAGAGCCGACTTGCCACCTCCATATGTATGGATAGTGGACACTCACAGACGTGAATGGGTTGCGTTTCGTTTCTATCCGACGCCTGGTGGTGGACGAGCCAACGAACTTGCCTTGGCCCTAGAGCTACACATGGAGGTAGACATGGAGACGTCGGGAGTGGAGCACAACGCGTCATTGAAGCTTAGCTGTCATGATGGTCCTGGGAGGATTGCTGCCTGGTAATTACTGTTGATGGACTGGTCCATCACCATAGAGAAACAAAAGCTTACGGAGCATATAGGAAAAAGAGGCATTTGTCATGTTGCAGGCATGTTTCCGTGAATGTCCATCACCTTTAGGCAAGTGATTACCGCTGCGCAGCAAGTGCTGTCTGTCATATTCCGTCATGTTGTTGTTATTTGCATTCCTTCGATGATCAAGAGAACCGGTGAACTGTTGCGGGGCTTGACGCCTAAAACGCAACTCGGGATAGGACACTGAAGCCTTGCAACCTTTATTTCACCGAGCTTTCTTCAAGTGCCCCTTCCAAGCAGCCAAGCTTTCGCCCAGCTTGGCTGAGCTCAGAGCTTTGTTTTCATGGCTCACCATGGCTCCGAGGAGGTTGAAGCTGGAGGAGTTGTCCAGCGTGGTGGATCGTCTCCAGGCACGTGAGCCGCCTCAGCATCTACGCCCTGGAGCCGAAGAGATGGGCATCTACGAAAGCTGCGTGAGCGGGTTGCCCGAGCTGAAGCCGAAGAGCAACCAGGAGCTGGCGATGGAAAGGGGTGGACTTGTTGAATGAGAAAATTCTATTAGCGTAATACTGTGGTCTCATGTTGCTTGTTTTTGGCGGATGGGGTGGGGCTCATGGACACATGCTTATATTGAACCCTCAAGGGTTGGGTTGAAGAGTGGCTTTGATGTGGCTTAGTTGAACCCGAGCCCGCCACATTGCCTCAGAGGGGGGGTGCCCCGGGCGCCAGAGCGCCAGAGCAAAGCGCGGATTTGTGTGTTGGACTTTTGGGGAGGCCAAAAGGTGTGAGAAACACTTCCTTGGAGGATTGCTGGCTGTGTACGGCGGCACGCTCTTCCTTGGGGCCACCGATTCCTTTAGGAAGAGCCCCTTTTGGTGAACCCCAGCAACGACGCAGGAGTATGGCCAGGCGTGCCCGCCCTACGAAGCTTTGCCAAATGCGCTGGCACGCGTTCAGTTCCAAGATCCGACACCTCCATGGATCCTGGCAGAAGTGGACTGGCGGGTGCAGCACACGGAGATGTTGAATCAGAAGATCGAGGTGCTGGTTGATGGGTGAAGAGTTTTTTCAGATATTGGCCATTATTGGCCGGTGTTTACTATTTGCTGCCAGTTGCCTTTGCATCCATACAAATGCATAATGGCATAATGTGATGCATGTATACTGCATATACGGATACATAATACCACCCGGGTCACCCCCGGAACCTTGATCCCCAAAAGAGTATGTTTCACTCATGAGGGATTTCACTTCCAAAAACCTCTCATGGGCTTTGATCCGGAGGCCCTGGAACGGGAGAAGGCCATGTGGGAGGCCAAGCTACGCCAGCTTCGTGGGCAGACTGCAGGAGAGCCATTCGTCGAGTCGTCGAGGGGTTGGGTTCAATGACGAACCGCCGGAAGACACATAGACGAACCGCCGCACCAATTAGACGAAGCAGTGAAGATCAATGAAGATCATGGAACCCACGATTTGCTGAGCCTGAATGTCATGTCCCAAGACACATTGCCCGCAAGTGTCCATTTGACAGACAACAAGTGATGTGGGATTCTGTTTCAAAGAGACCCTGCAGTTGTGGATTGTAGTGATGCACTTGGGGTTCCTTCGGTCGTGCCCTCAATGCTACGCCGCTGAAGACTCATGGTGTAACAGTCTGTGTTTAAAGAGAGGGTCCAGATCGGTGATGACGCGTTGTACATGCAAGATCATGCAAAGTAAGCCACTTCTTCTCCAGTAGATTCTAACAGTCCAAATGGCGAGATGGACAAACGTTTTGAAACATCATAGATTTGATTTGGCAATGTATTCGTCTATACTGGAAAATCCATTTATTTCATAAGCCACTGTCACTGTCCATAACAACTTGCCACAACTTGCCTTACCTGAGCTGACCCCTTGTGGGGCTCGATACCAAAACGCTGAGCTCCGCCTAGACTCGTCCTTCGCCCTTTTGAGATGCAAACCCAACCCCATCCCAAGTGGATTGTGCCCTTGTCATTCATGACTTGGAACGCTTTATATAATCAGGAAGCAGACCTTGATGAGGATGGAACTTGATTTCCATCGTTGAGAGCTGCGTTTTCATCACTCGGTCGCTCCGGGTTCCTCCTTTTTAATCCGATGCAGGAACCTCCACTCGGAACAAGATCACACAGCTCCATCAGCCATGGACCTGGCCTCCGGGCGACGCCCCCGAGGCCGAAGCCTCGGCGGAGATCTCCCGCCATGCATGGAGCCGAGCACCAGGGGCTCCGCAGGGATCGGCACGGGAGATCTTTGAGAAGATCAGCCACCCGTGGCCCGGAGCGAGACCGAACCGAACCGTCAAAGCCGGTGTTTTGCTGTTGGAAGCGGTTGGGCGCCTCAAGCTTTTGGAAGGGGGGGTGGGTTGGTGTCTTTTTTCCGGGAGGGTCCAGAGTTCCTAACGCTGTTCAAGAAGGCAGACGGTTTCCCAGCAAAAAAAGCTGCAGGACTTCCATGTTGACACATGTATGGGCCATGGGCAAAATCAAAGTAGTTGTTGTATGGGCCACAAAGTCATAGGCCACAAAGCAGTTGTTTGACATTCTTAATTGCTCATTGCTCATCCTTTCCAGCTTTGCTTGCAAGTGTGCAGGATTCCAAGACTGTACGACCAGTTCAGGAAGCTCCTCTTGCTTTTCATCCACATCTAGGACACACAAGGAGTTATTGTTGATGTAGTGAGATGTGTCTTCTGAAACGACCAACCCTCCCCGTGTTCCATTGGCCTGCAGGAGTTCCATGTTGGTGGCTAGAAAACACCCATTCAGTGAGTGGGTATGACACTGGCATCCTATACTATACCCTTTTATTCCATCCAAGGGCGTGTAGCATATCAATCTTTCCCCTGTTGATTTGGCTTTCCCACATGGAAACTGACGCTATATATTCCTACGTCCACCAAGCCTTGGAGGCTCCCACCCCAAAATTCAGTCCGTCAGCCACTGGGGTTTGCTCGGAGGTGCTCCAACTGCCCCGCTCTCGAGGCAACCCCTGCAGTCCATCGCACCCCCTCGCAGCGAACGGCAGCGGCTGCACGACGAGGCCGCGCAGCGGGAGGTGGAGCTCCAGCGGGCGCGTGCGCGCGAGGCTGAGGAGCGCGTGGAAGAGGAGCAAACGCGGCAGCTGGCGAACCGCGAGGACATGGGAGACGGAGTTGTTTTTGATGATAGAGTTACCCAATCTTGTTGAAAGGATGGTTGCCAGAAGCACCAGAAGGCTGGTTTGTTGGCTTGCTTTTGAAGATCAGTCGAGTCATATATATATATATATCTATACATAGTTCGTGTAGTAGTTCGGGTGTTTGAGGTTTTTGTTCCCGGTTGTTAATTCAGCATTCTGCACAGTCGTCGAACTGTTATGTCCATCCAGGGGAAGGACCCGACCCTCCCAGACCAATGAGCCTAATTTGGAGCTGGTCGGAAGGTTGTGAGGCCTGGTGAGGTGCTGACTTTCTCTTTGTGCATCTTTGTCTCTCTCTCTCTCTCTCCCCATCTCTCTCCCTCCTTCGAATTGCCCCACCGGTCACTGAAAGCGAGGACCTGCGTGCAGCACTGCAGCAGGAGCTCCAAGCCTTGAGGCGCCTGGAGGCCAAGCGCCTGCAGCAACGGGAGGAGGTCCGTGCCAAGCTGCAGCTCGGAGAGGACTGGAGAGGAACGGGCAGTTGAGGGAGGATTGGAGGAGTTCAGAGCTCATGAACCTTTCTTGTTTGTGTGTGCGGGACCTTTGGTAGAAGTGGTTTGTGGATATGTCTTCGTTCGGGTGAGTGTTGGAAGGTTTGTGTCTTCCTCGCACCGCCTGTCCAAACGATATGAGAAGGTGACAATGTGATGGCGTAATGATTCTCAGTGAGCTGGGGATTCCCAAGGACTTCGTCCCGGAGGGAGCTTCAAAAAATGCCTTGAACTGTTCCATATCCTATGTTCTCCTCTGGCAGCCGGTGAATCGCGCACGAGAAATCCATCTTTGCTCCTGACGGTTCAGACAGAATACAGTTTCCCGCATTTCAAGGCAAGAGGAGCTTCACAGGCAACTGCAAGAAGAGCGAAGGCCGTGACGAACCAATCAACTTGTGAATGATATGATTGCAGGTGATAACTCAGACAACATCAGATAACCATAGCAGGCAAACCATATCAGGTGAGAACTCAGACAAACCCATAGCAGGCATCGCATCCCCAGTAGTATTTGTTAGTGACTATGCCTCTCCTTTGGATGTCAGTTGGAGGGTGCGGGTGTTTGTTTTGCGGGATGTAGTCTTTTGTGCGCTTGGCGCCAAATCAATGCGTTGTTTTCACTTGGGAGCCATGTCATGTGGAGTTGGCATCGCGTGCGAAAGAGAGGCTTCTTAAGGATCCATAGAGTTCGTAGAGTTCAATCTCAAGAAATCCATGTTTGCATCTCTCTTTGGCTTCCCGTGGGGTTATGAGGTGGGGGGCACCAGCAACGCCAGCAGGTCCTGGGAAGCTGAGCAAGAACAGCAACAGCTTCAGCGGCAACAGGCTCGGCTGCGGCAGCAAGAGGTCCACCGTGAGATGCAAGAGCTCGAGACGCTTGGTGCTGATTGAGACGCTTGATGCTTTGTAAAGCAACATGGCAACTGCCAGAGGTAGAGAGGAAGATGAAGGAGGATCTCCTTTATACACTGGAAATGGCCTGTCAGTTTGTATGGTCGTACTCACCTCAAATCCCATGTTGATTTGTGGGCAACAGGTGTTGGTCGGTTTGGAACATCGCGGCGCGTTGCAGAGGTGAACGGTGTTTGGGGGGGTTCTTTGCTTGGTGGTATGTGTTTTTAATTGTAAAGTGAATACTATATTCTTTATTATTGATTACGTATGTGTTTTGTGTTTATTTGTGTTGTTTTGTTATTTTTTTTTCTCGGTTCTTTTGCTCCTGCCAAGTCAATGGCGCGACCACACCGTCAGGCAAAAGTGGTCCTTTACAAGGGCCAAGGATCATTCGCCTTGTAGCCCTGCCTCATCCTCTACAGCCCTCGCCGGTGGTAACCAAAGTCAACTCTCTCAACATGGGCAACCACTGAGGACTCTCGACCCATCACCTCCTTCAGCTGTCAGAGCTCTGCGGTCCAAAGTGCAGCTTCGTCTGACCTTTGGCCTTCAGACAATGCTGGTGCACCCACTGCTGCACACGACCTTCAACAACTCTGCAGCTTTTGCAACATTGCTGACACTCGATCCATCGGCCTCTCCGGGCAAGTCGATGGCTGGGGTGGATTCGAAGGCGCAAGTTGAGGCCTACTTCATCAACTGGGCCTGTCAAACACTCCTTGTCAATCAGCTGTTGGAGCTGTTGCTTGCTGCTTTTCCTGGGGATCCTCTCCCAACAAAGCCGGCACCCAAAGTTGCTGCCCTGCAGAACCCATCTATGCCCTGGGTGGCCCTCCACAAGGAGGTCTGAGCTATCCACAAGGTCCACCATCTGTTGCTCCATGGTTCTCTCAACATACCCTCTGCATACTGTGTCCTGTAGGTGGGCAATCTCTGCATGCGTTGCACACCCTTTGATCTTTTTGTTGCAGTGCTTGCATTTGACGCCTGCCTTGTAGATCTCCCATTCATGGGTGCCTGGTTGTGACGCCCTCAAAGTCAACTGCCGAAGGACTGCCACTCTGCCCTGAGCTGGCTTTGGTTTTGCTGCCTTTGGACCACTCTCTTGGACTGGTTCCAGCTTGCCATTCATGTAGTGGTCCTTGTCGTGCAGCATTTTGCTGATCCTCTTGGCTGCAGTCATGTAGACTTCATAGTGGAGCTGGTCCTCTATCACCAAATCCTTTTCCAGTGTCGTTGGGCGCTCTTTCTGAGCCCTTTGCATTGCCAGTTGCTTAGCCAGAAGATACTGCTGTCTGCCCCTGTCATTGCTGTCTTGACTCTTCATCATTTTCCACGGCACTTGGAGCAGCTGCAGTCTCTTCCACTCGTCTGCTGGCAAGTTGTGCCACAGGTCTGGAGCCACTCGGCCTGCCGCACCTTTTTGAATCGCCGTCCAACCAGCTGGGTGAGGAATGTTAAGTTGATGCCTCCCCAGGACCATTTGAAGGACCAGCCAGCATCCAAAGAACCATGCCCTTGCTTCACTGCTTTGACCAGGGGCAATTGCAGTGCACAGCCCAATGACTTGCCACGAGTCAGCCTGCCACTGCATCGCAACAACCGCTACTGCATATCTTCTCAGCCTCAGGTCTTTGCTGGTCTGCTGCACCCCAATGGCAAGCCGCTGATGTGGACCAATCCTCACCGGCCATCCATGACTGAAGATGCCATCAACTTCACAAGAGTCAGCACCCTCACATGGATCAAAGGACGGCATGTCAATGAGGCCCCTGGCCCAGAGCATAGTGTTCTCATTGGCTGCAATCATCTGCGTCCACTCTTGCGGTAGTTCATCCATGTGATACTTGCATTGCCAAATCAAATGCTTCATACTGACTGGGGCATGACACAAAGGGCACAGCATCCTCTCACCCCCATAGTGCGCTCTCAGCGAGCCTTGTGTCCATGCATTGATGGCCGCCTTCTGACCACTGGAAGCTTTCTTCATTGCCTTCCGGTAGATGCTCCAATCAGGCCTCCTCATCAGGGGAAAAGCATGCTCCAACTCCTGAATCCTGCGGGCCCTCTGATTGTCCAGTTCAAGCTGCAGCTGCCTTTGAAGATAGGGCCACGGGAATTCCAAGTTGAGCTGAGCCGGAGGCAGGATGCCATTTGGTGCACGTACCCAATCATTGAGACTGCTTGCATCCCATCCCATGTCCATCATATACACCTGAAGTGCAGCCATGGGCCCTGTGACGACCATCCAAGGATAGGCCGCGGCTTTGAGTCTTCGCCAGCTAACCCTCCAGGCAGCGTGGAGCTCCGCAAGCTGCTCCGGAGGCGATTTGAGCACCAGCAAGTGCATGGCCTTGAGCTGTCTCTCAACCACCGTAGCCAGTGGGTCTTGCAGCTTTCCATTCTGGTCATACACAACGTCAACACTGCCACCCTTCTGGAGACCTCCATGCCTGGCCAGCTGAGTACGGAGTGTCTGAAGGCGCTGTGGTGCAATGCCCTGAGCTTCCAACCCATAACACGCTGCGGAGTGTACAGACGTTTTCCACACTCTGATGCGAATGGGTCTGGCCTTAATCTTCAAATTTGTCAGCTTGGCATTTCTCCTACCAGCCTTGAGAAGCCGTTTCTGCTGGTTTCCAATCCTCCTCCGACGGCCTCCACTGGAGTCCAGGCCTAAATCTTTCAGGAGCTCGTGAACATTGGGTTGGCCCTCTTTGCGCATCAGAGTGATCTCCTTCTTGCAGTCATTCGAAGAGGCTAAGTAGCCTGTCTTGGCTAGAGACATCTTCAATCCAGCATCTGTGAGCCGTTGCTGCAACACATCAAAACCATGCAGAGCTTCTTGACATACAGCTTTCACACTGTCACCCACAAAGTCGATGGAGATGTCATCAACCCACACATCGATTGAGGCTTTGTGGAACTGCTCTTTGAAAGGGCCCAACACTGGCGCCAGGATCAACTTGGCAACTAATGGCGCTGCAGGGCATCCGGCCAGGATTCCTTTGGAGCAGGTCACAGGTCTCGATGTGACCTGTTCAGCTTGGAGCAGTCGGGGCCCGGTGTACACTTCGTAGACCATATTCATCACTGCAGGGGGGAAGTCCATTGGCTCCCATGCATCTAACAGTTGCTCGAGCACCACACTGTCATAGAAACACTGCAGGTCAACCAGGAGCGACACCACATGCTTGCCAGTGGCACGGCCTACCTCACATTTCAACAATCTCATGAGGGCAACCTGTAGGACATGTGTGCCAGGCACGCTGCGCTCCCAACTGAGTTTTTGCCCAACGCTGTTCTGCCATGGTCGCAGTTTGTCCCAACGCAAGCGGCACCACGTCCGGTACAGCACACTCGTCAATGAGATGGGCCTCTCAATTTCTTCCTTTTTTGGGAGCAGCAGGACCAATGTTGTGCGAACTTGATCAGGAAGCCGACCTTCTAATTCCCACTTCCTGTACATGTTGCACAGGGCAGTGACCCCTTCAATGGGCAGGGCCTTCAACAAAGCATAACTCACTCCATCCGGACCCGAGGCTTTTTGAGGAAGCTTGCGGAGCTGTTTCATCACCTTATGAGGATCTAGATCTTCCCATTGCCGAGCTTGCACAATGCCCTCATACCTCAATCTCTCTCTTTCACCACTCGCCTTGGGCTTGTCAACAACTTGCCACATTCCAAACCACTGTGTCTCCCTCATTTGCTGTCTCTGCTGAACTGGCACTTTACGGAATGGCCTGATACGAACAGCATCAGGGGCCTTCAAGCACTTGTAGATGCCACTGTGACCCCTGAGGGTTGCTTGAGACAACCAGTTCTGATACTCCTCAGCTTGCCGACTAAAAGCCAGTTTTTGAGCGTGCTCTTTGTTGCAATCTGCTCCTTGGATCAAGAGTATGATGGGGACATCAGCTCCGTTGATAAGCTCTTGCAGGCCAGCTTGGAAATCATCAAGGCCATGGATGTCCTGCCACCTGCTTTTGAGGTCAGCTGCTTTGGCTCTCAGATGTGCCATGGTGCCAACACTGATGTGTCCTCGCTGGGCCACATGCTGCAGCAAAGAGCTCATCTGCCCCCAATAGGCTAAGTCACCTCTCCGCCACGGTGACAGTGGTTTCGTCTTAGCCAGCGGCTTGATTTCCAAGGCCAGATACCATCCTCTGCCAAACTTAGGCTGATGCAACTGTTGTAAAGCAAACGGCTCGGCCTGGTGACAGAACTCAGCACATTGTATCTCTTTGGGTCCAACCGGCATGCCTAGCCAGAATGGCTTTGGTGAGGGCTCAAAATGATCCCACGGCTTCTCAGCCTCTTCCATCTTGGGCACAGGGGCAAAGTGCGTCAATTGCTGCAGTGCCAGCCTTGGCGCTTCATGTACCATCAGTCCTGCATGAGGTTTCCAAGGTACATCCCAGTTGACTTTGATGTCCAGGTACGGGGCAATGGCCCTGCTTGCAACTATGTAGTCAATTTCCGCTCCATTGATCATGGTTGGCTGGCCACTGCTCACCACTTCTGCTTTCAAAACATTCAGGAGATTGTGGCTGTCCCATTGTGCAGGCGACACTTGAAAATCCCCAATCAGGAGCCAGGGGATGGCCAGTTCTTGGACCAGGGCTGCCATCTGGCCCAGCACTCTAGCATTGGCCACAGAGTTCAGGTCCTCCCCGCACTTGAGGTAAATGGAGATGACACATAGCTCCCAGTTCTGTCTCTGAATCACATTGGCCAGGAAACCATTGCCCTCGTGATCATAATGATGCAGCTTGTAGGCCTCGTCCTCCCGGCAGCAAAAGGCTTGACCTCCACTAGTGCCTCCACGCCCCGTCTCATAGGCTGCCATGAAAGTGGGCATCCATCTGGACCTACACAGGTCACTCATTGCTGCTTCCACCTTTTTGCCTGCTATGTGTGTCTCCACCATCATCACGATTTGCAGGTCTTGCTGGATAAGCCATTGGAAGACTTCCTTGTTCCACTGTGTAACATTGCCATAGAAGATTTGCACATCATCTTGCAGAATCTTAGGCCTCTTCGGTGGTGGCTCGATGGAGCCAATTGGGGTGGTCCAGAAATCCGAGGGTTCAGCTTTGGAAGCCCAGACCATAACCGTGCCTTCCTGGATGCTGCTCGGAATTTCCTTCACAGCTCTTGGGCACTCCCCATCATCTACCACCCACACCGCTTGTCCTTCCACCAACATTGTGATGTAGTGACCACTGATGAGCTCTGCTCCTTGATCACGAAAGGTAGCCCTTTAGGGGATACCTTGAGTTTGTCTTGCGAAGCAAGTGTTGGGACGTCCGGGTCTAATAATTGATCGCTCAATTCAGACCCCCCCCACCCCCCCCCCCCATCAATTTATTGTTTTTTAACACCCGCCCCCCCCCCCCCCCCCCTTTGAAATTGATTTTTCAATACAGACCCCCCCCCCCCCCTCCCCCCCTCTAAAATCAATTCTCTCCTGGAGAACATCTTCGTGAGCCTCTCATGATTTCAGGATAGTTGAAACCCTCTTGAACATTTAGAAAGAGTGAATATGAAATTCTAATCACGAAAGGTGTTCCCCGAGGGGATACATACCTAGAGTTTGTTTTGTGAAGCACGTCAATTCTCTCCTGGGGAGCGTCTTCGTGAGCCTCTTATGGTTTCAGGATAGTTCAAATCCTATGATGTTCCGATTCAATGCTCACCGATGATCTGAGCCATGGGGCAAGTTTGTTTTCCTAAGAACCTTTTTGAACATTTCGAGCGCATATGTTTGAACATTTAGAGTGCATATGAACATATATTTACGAAAGGTCGCCTCCGAGGGGATAAATCACCATGTCGAACATTGCATTTTTGTTCCTGCCTCTCGCGTTCTCTTCTCTTCCCGCTGTCCTACCTTTCGTGTCTCCCTCCTCTCAAGTGTGCTATGACTCCTCTCAGCACAAAATTTGCCGGTGCTGCTTGCCCAGTCAGCGTCATCTGCGGACATTGAAACATTGGTGGTGTGATCAATCTGTGATTGTGTTTGGTCCAAACCCTATCAACCACAGAATACCGCCCAATGTGAAACACAATGTGTTGAACCTCTGGCCCCAGGCATTGTCCACTTGCCTCATTGGCCCACATTGACAGCAAGGTTTCCAGCTGCACCTCTTCCCCAAGGTCGGGAGGCATTCTGACAAAAATGGGGATGGTGTCAAACTCATGGTTTCTTCCGCCAAAATTGGACACCCAGTTGCCTTGTAGGCCTGTCTGCCCCCAGAGCTCCCACATCAGGACCAGAAATTCTGAGGCGTCATGCTGCTGCTGAGGCTTGTCCAACCTTGCTATGACATGTTGCATCTCAGAAGCCCAGAAAATGTCTTCAATCTCATCTTGCTGGAGCAGCTGCATGCACAACTTCGTGGACGGCCCCCCAAAACGCTGCTGGGTCCTTGTGATGGGCTCCCATCCAGCACCACATCCTCATCACTGAGTTTGCATAGCATCGATTGCCTTTATTGTGGATGCACAGTGTGAGATTTGCCGCCATCAATTCAATGGCCGGCGGAATGTTGAGTTCACCTTCAACTGGCCTGCAAAGCATCAAATTACTTTGCAGGGCAAGTCGCATGCGGAGCACATGTTTCAGGGCCTCCAAGCCCCATACCCTGGTCTCCACTTGACCAAATTCAATGTCCTCTGCACATTGTATTGGCAAGGCCTGAATTGCTTCCAAAGCCCTCTCTTGCAAGACAACAAGTCTGTCCTTCAAATGACCGGGTGTTGTTCTCTCCGCACATTGAATCTCATCCTCCATGATCTCATCTTCTTCAGTCACTTTTGCCCTTTTGCCCCCACCAAGGAGCAAACACTGTAGGTGATCCTGTCCACCTGAAACTTCATAGTTGTCATGATTGTGACACGGCAGGTCTTGAGAAGGAGCTTCCGGGGTCCTGTCAAAAGCAAGTCCAGGCAAGCCTGGCCGCCCTGGGAAAGAAGAGCACAGTGCCCCTTCTGCCCCTTCTCCTGCCTCTTCTTGTTTCCTCTCAGAGGATTCACTTTGCTGATCAGGTCTATCCCTTTCCATCTGTGTGGACAGGTGTCCAGTCCCACTTTGGTCATGTGCTGGTGGGTGCTCATGACCAGTCTGATCACTTCCATCTCCCCCAGGACTAGTTGCCATCCGCTCATGGCTCATACCGGCCCTGGAAGAATACAAAATTGAAAAGGCATGATCAACCCCCAAATCAATGCCAAAATTGCCTGCTTCATGCGTCCATGGAAAAGGGGACTCATGATAATCATTCACATTCACATACGGCTGCAGTCCTTGAAGAGCAGGACTAAATGGTTCTTCATGCCCACTTTGCACTTCACAGTTCATGCACTGCAAACGCTCATCAACACTCTGCTGACTACCCCAAGCACAACGTGTTGACACTTCATCCCGCCAAACATTCAAACAGTCCCACGAGTTTGAACTTGCCCCAATTCTGTAACTGCCATGGTGACCAGCACAATCCATCTTCCAGGACCCCTTCACTGCAAGACAGTTTGCACCTGTGTCAAACCCTTTTGCTGCTGCACTTGTCCATTTGCTGTTACCCGCTCAACTGACTTTCATCAGTCTTGCGGCGCTTGGACATTGTCTCAGCCAAATTCCTCTCAAGCTCTTTCTGTTGCTCGGAATTGAAAATGATGCCTGCTTGTCCCAATGCTTTGAGGACATGCTCTGTAGCATCACTATCCAAGACGTGCTCACCTGTGGTGGGTACCTCAGCCGCTTCCGCCTTCAGCTGTTTCGCATAGGCTTCCGACTGATCCCCAAGCTGCTTGTGCTCTTTGTCAATGGCTTCTTGCACAGCTTTGAGCTCATCCAACAAGATCTTGTATTGGTCTTTGGCTTGGTCCACCCGTCTCTGCAGAGCTTGCTTCTTGGTGGCCAGCTGCCTCAATTCACCAACTGTTGCTTTGAGCTGCCCTGTGACGTCAACTGCCACCGTAGGTGTTGGCTTGATCAGACCAACCACAGCCTCTTTCACTTCCGAGGGAAGGGACTCAAGATGTGCTTTCAACACTTCCTCGAGTGGTGGGCATTCAGGCTCTGGTGTAAAATCAATGCCAACTCCTTTCAATGCCTCTTGGGCTTCTTTGGCCATTGTTCCCTATGCCTTCTTGAGGGTGGCTTCAATGGCACTTTGAGTTTGCTTGCTTTTGCCTCCCAGCCCAGGGGGTGGGTCGACTTGTGGCCTCACTCTGCCCCTTGGCTTCCTTGCTTTGCCGGATAGGCGTTGTCCCACGCCTTGTCTGCACCTGGCCATGGCGTGCCACACTTATTGCAACCCCATCGTTGGCCATTGATGCGGTCCGCCCAAATCCAGGATGAACTGCATCCCAAACAGGCCACATATTTCCTCCTCGATCTGACCTTCTCAAACTCCTGGAAATAGCCCCCAACCATTTCACAGAACAAACTGGGTAAGGCACTCGTCAGTCTCTATTATGAGCAAGGGCAAAGCCTCCGGGCAAATAGGACAGGACAAAGGGGTCTTCAATCTCGTAGTCCAATGCCCTCGATCACGTCACTGTGGGCCAACCGGTTTGAGCCTCCTTGAGCCAAACCTTGAGCCAGTTGTTTTGTTCTCTCTCTCTCTCTCTCCCTCCCTCCCTCCCTCCCTCCCTCCCCCTCTTCCGTTTTTCAACACACATGGCCGTACACAACAAAAAATAGTGGACAGAAAGACCTGCTGATTCACATAAGAATAAGAAGTTGTGTTTTGGGTGGGTGGATGTCATTTTGAATTATTTACTGTTTAGGTCTCTTTTTGTTGCCTTTTGGTAGCTTTTGGCTTTTGTGTCTTGCTTTTGGTGACTCTTGGATCGCATAGCGCGCCGGTATACCATACATACCAGGCCAATTAAGTTCTCGCTTGGCATCCATCTTACAATCTGGGGGAGAAGCCTTATTGTTCACCTTCCTTCGTTTGCGAACATTCGGAGAGAAATTCCAAATGACTTAGAAGTGACAGACATATGAAATAATCTGAAAATAAACATCCGAAGAAGCCTCCTATTGAATATAATATTAGTATACTTTATTTAATACTATTTATGTGGGTCGTTTTGACTCGCACTTCGGATGCTCGTAGGCTCTCCACCCACCACCTGGGAGACGCTCCCGCTCCTCCCTCAAAAATGAGCAGCGATCTGGCTTCTCAGGGTCGTGAGACTCCTCGAGAAGTTGATGCTTCGGAGGGCCGTGAAGAGGGAGGCGCCCAGGTTTCAGGAGGACAGACGCAGACGCAACCAGAACGAAGGCGGAGAGAGAGGGAGTAGCTGCTTCAAAGATAAGCTGGGTGGCCCACACGGAACGTTTCAAGGCCGGTGCTGTCCCCGCGTCAAAGCCTGGACCATCCCGCTCTCAAACCGGTTTGGAGCATGTTCTGGAGGTGTCATTGATTCCAAAGCCAGGAATTTGCGCCTCCGTTCATGTCAGAACGTGGCGACCACCCAAACATCGCTGCGAAAGCAATGCGAGTGCGTCCGGCACGGGCTTTGAATTGAGCAAGATGCGAACGTGCAACAAAACGGTAAGGATTTTGACTTTGAGACCGCAGCATGACTTGCTGAATATGTCTTGAATATATAAAGCCGTGGTGATGGCCACCTTTGGTGAGAAGGGGTTTTCGTGGCATGTGAGTCACACATGTGAGGGCTCTTTGAAGACCAACAAACGGATTTCACATGATTTCCCGGTTCCGGGGAACTGGGAGACGCGGTGGATCTGGGAGACCGCGGCACGCCACGCCAGGAGACACTCCAAGAGCTTTGGGAGATTCACTTGGCCCGTGAGGAACCTGCCGGCTTGTCGAGTGTGCCCATGGAGATTACGGAGGAGGTCGGGGGATGTGGTCGAAGGGTGGTGGTTGAAGGATGTTGAAGGGTCAAAGATGGTCAAAGGTAAGCAATACGTCAAGCTGAAAAGACGGAGACGCCCACCTCACCTAAACGTTCCCAAGGGGTGGTTTCTGCAGGGGTTGCGTGTTGCTCATGTTCGAGCACTTACTGAGCGATAAAATCCCAGCAAAAAATTGGAACTCCTCAAAGCTACCATCTAGCAGGAAGACAAACTTGTGCCTTGTTTGACCGCCTCAAATCTCACAAAATGCGAAATCTATCAATACCTTTGGATGGAGAGGCCAATCAAGGGGCTGAATTTAAGAGGTTTGAACTTTGGATTCACTGTTATATAGTATTTTAGTCGCTTTCTTGAACATTCTTTTTCAACCGCCCTTTATGTACTGTGTAGTTTTGACATGGTGCCGGTTATTGTGCGAGGCAATCCTCAACCCTGCAGGTAAGTCAGCAGCTCACAATGAACGATTGGCTGCTTTTCTATGGGGACTTGCACCTTGGAGATGAGTAAGAATCGTCCAGTGCATAGATTTATAGGTACAGGTTTTCCCTAATGATAGAGCTATAGCTACTGCATTGTTTCCGGGAGGTCTTCTGATTGGAATCAGGTTGAATGGCAACACTCGAGACAAGCTTGCTGATGTGGACGCACTGGAACAGGCGTTCATGATTTCAGTGGGCGCTTCTTCTTTGGACTCACAAATGCTGTATCAATGCGCATGCAGTGAAACCATCCCGGACATTATGAAGAAGATGCTCAATCATTGGGTTCGTTCAGCCGTTCCTCGGACAGAAGAGTCGCAGCGTCTGAAGTTTTTCGCGTTCGTTTCCAACCGCCCCGCTGTTTTCTCCGCTTGTTGTTCATCCCGGGCTACAGGACCACTTCCTTTTGTGGCCACATACGGTTCCTGACTTGCTGTCGCTTTTTGATTTCTCAACCAAAAGCACACTCCGTCGTCAAGGAAGAGAGAGAGAGATCCAAGACATTTTTAGAAGGGTCAAGGGTTTCTTTTGTGCCATTTCCATGTGCTTATGGTTTGTACCTTCCTTTTTCATTGGACTTTGCTATGGGACTGTCAGGTGCTCTCGCATCAGACCATGCCCTTCACCGCGCCCGGTGTAGCAACGACGACCAGTCCGGCCAGTCGGTCAAGCTTAGAAGCTCCGAAAGTGGAAGCTGTGAGAAACGAGACCAGAGGGAGCAAGCAATCCGAAGGGAAAGATGGGAAAGAAGAGAATACGGGGGAAACGGCGAGGAGGAGCGAGACCATGATGGCTTTCGAGGAATCCAAGAAAGAGAAAGATCAGAAAGCACTGGAACCAGAGAGGCGGAGCGAAACCACACTGTTTGGTGAAAAATCCAAAGAAGAGAAAGAGCAGAAAGTCGGGGAAGTGATGAGGAGAAGCAAGACCAGAGTGGATTGCATGGACTCCAAATTGAAAGGTGGGCAATCAGGAGAATTCGCACAAAGGAGCGAGATCACAGTGTCTCGCAAAGAATCCAAGGAAGAGCCAAAAGCAGATGGCATGGCGAGGAGGACCACGATGGAGGAGAAAGAGCAGACTTTGCCCACAGGGCACCGAACCGAGACAGAGGCTATAGATCCAAATGTAAAAGCCGCAGAAGCCCCTAGTGGAACAGAAGCACCTGACGGTGAGTTGCCAGAGGAGGCCCATGAGGAAGATGAGCTTTTTACCAAAGACCAGTGGGTTGCATGGTTCAAAAGCGCAGACTTGGACAAGGCCTTGAAGTTGAGTCAAGTGATGTTGAGTACTTCGTATGTTTTCGGCTAAGTTTTGGGTATCAATCTATATTGAGGGCTTCGTTCGGGTCATGCTACGTACAGTACATCAAGGTGCATCGAACAAGAAGGAACGTAAGAAGGCAGAGGGCTCCGCCAATGTGATTTCTCATCCTTCTTGCAGAAAGTTCATAGGGTTTTTGAGGTGTTTCTTTTTTTTTTATTCCTCAAGTCTGTCTCTATGAACTCCGGACCATCCTTCTGGAAGTCTTCCACAACGGAGTGCCGCTCTGGCCTCCAGAGTGCCGCTCTGGCCCCGACTCCCAACAGAAGCACCGCATTCAGGGTGATAATGGATACACTCAAGCTTAGTTTTGGTGTTGTTTTGATTATTTAAAATCTACCTTCCCAACAGCCAAGATCTGCCAAACCATCAGTAGATCGTTTTTCAATCGCGTTTGGCCCGTGACGTGACGTCGTGAAATCGACGGTCAGGAGGAGGAAGCCTTGTTGACCTCCGCCCTGCTTTCCGTGGAGTCCGAACAGCAGCTGAGCCCGGAAGAGATGGCGCAGGCATTGAAAGCCTTTGCGGCTGGCTCAGAGGAGGAGCAGGACCAGTCTCCCGGAGCCCCAAGACATCGAGTCTTCAGGAAGAGTCAGCGGTCAGTGGGGGCTTGAGGGAAGCAAGAATCCAGGAACTTGAGTGGTGGTAGCCAAGAATAGCCAAGGGAGTTTCTGTCAATAACACATTTGGGGTGTTATGAAGTAAGGGGGGCATCCAGGGACACCTCCCTGGTCGCTTGGGTTCAATTGTCTTGTGGTCGCCCACTTTTGGGGGGCGATATGCGGCCATCGGGTGGATCAAGTCAACATGCGATCATTTTGTGGGAGGCCTCAAGCACCACTTTTGGGCAAACCCCCGTTCCAAGTGGCGCAGCCGGCTCCAAAAACAATTAAAAAGCACTTGATTGTCTCTGTCCAGCCAATCCCCGGTATTGGAAGTGGCATCAGCAGCATGATTTGAGCAAGAGCCTTTCGACTCTTGACTCAAGACATTCGATGAAGCCTTTGGCCAAGGCTTCATGAGTGGGCTCAATGGGCTTTGGACATCAATGATGACTGAGAAGGATTGGAGCATGGTCCAAACTCAGACCGCAAAGGCAATCGAGCAAGGTCAACAACACTGTATGACGATGTTGTGAAAGACACCCACCAAGCAAAATTACAATAATATATATATATATAAATGCTATTAGTGATACGTCGGATGGACAACCTTTTGAGTGTACAACACACAGTGCGTCGCTTCAAGTTCTGCCAAGTGTGAGAGAAATCGAATTAAGATAAGGAGGCACAGAGCAACGTCACAACTACAACCCATCATACTCCAACAAGGGTTGTGGGAGTTGTGGGACATTGAACATGTGAGGCAGAAGCATGCCAACATGAATGTGTTATTGTTTTTGTTATGGGAACTGAGCAAAGCAACACACGTACATGAAGAAGGCAAAATCCATTAACATGAAAAGGTGGATCCCGTGCTTCGTCAACGCACACACACCAAAAAAATACACACAAAATCAAAGTGCAGAGCTGTTGAAGGTGCTGCCAAATGTACCAAGGCCACGTGCTGCCTTATGGCATGCGCGATTGGTAGCTGGGTCATTTAGAGAGCCAAAGACTGCTCAGTCAGCTTTGATCGAAGGGAATCCATGGAGGGACTGGTGACCTAGAATTCCTTGTGGATTGATGATGCAGCAATACTAGGTTCAAACCAGCCATCGGAAGTTATATACTGTAAAGTATGGGTTACAACACCCAGTGGAACAATTTGACCTTTTCTTTTCACATGTTGAAGGCCAATAGGAAGCTTGTCCGTTCATGGATTCCCTCCGTTTGCTTGGACCACTCGCCTAGCGCTTGGTGAAACCAGGCGCTCATGGCTCGCCATAGTTTCTAGTGGAGAAAGGGGTGGTGGGTGGTGCCGTACGAAGCGCCAGCAACGGGCAGGCAATCACACTGAAGGAATGCAGCACCGCCAGTAGTAGTACTGCCCTGGGGCGGAACCGAGAAGCTGTCACCGTTTTCCAATAGGGCCAATAGGGTGCTCTACATCAGAGGCCTAACCCTCGTGGCACGTAGTTGTGACTAAATTGGTGGTAAAGGAGTCATCTCATGAAGAAAGAACACGGTCAACCACCATCAGTGTGGCGTCCATTGAGGAGTACTGGGTTTCTGATGATGTGGCGTTATGTGGCCTGTTTTGGTTCAGGTGTAGGGCCCTGTTCTACTTCAAAAGCCTGCGAGCTTAACCTTTGCTATGTCCGCATCTCGCCATGCTATGGGCTGAAGCTTCTCGCATGCATCCCATCTTTAGCGATCGGCATGTGGGACTTGCTCAGCATTGCTACGGGCCTTTGTGGTGACTCGCATGGGCACCGCTATGATCACTTCTATTTTCAACCACACCCCAGCGTGACTCTCGCCAAGCAGCCCTTGATCGGCTGTGCTTCCGGACTCTTGAGCTTGGCGGTGGAAGGGGTGGTCGGTGCCCAGTGGGTTCCCCAAGAGGCCTCCTGGAAGCGCTGTCAGATTCCTGGTTTGGCTCATCTATTTTCATCTATTTTCCATAGACGCCGATCAGTTAGGGTGGTCTTGGGGGGTCCATGTAGGCATGTATTCCATACATGGAGTGTATGGGTATGGTTAAATCCCCAAACCCTGGTGAATGTTTATTCCCAGGTTCCTGCGAGGCGCAAATCTCAGGATTCTGGTGGAGGATGGGCTCGATCCCCGTTTGCCCGACCCGGAGGAGCGATACCACACGGTGGCGTCCGAGATCTTCCACTCCGACCATCGGGTCACCTGCCGAAGTGACCACTGGGCATGCAATGCCTCGTACACCGGTGGTAAGGGACGAGGTCCCATCCAACAGCTGCGGGAGGTGGGACGAGTGGAGGCAGATGAGGTTCCAAGTGGAGGAAGCTCCAAGTGCTTACAGTTGTTAAAGCATTGGCTCCGACCGTACCAGGGCTTTTCCTATCATGTCATGGACATGGCACGACTGGTGACTGACCACGCAGTGCCATGTGCCACGATGATGCTGTGCATTGACTACTGCAATACTCATCAAGTTTCCTGGTTTTGCTTGAGGTGATTATATACTAGTTCCGCTATGGTTAAATCCCCAAACCTGGGGATTACTATATAATATATATATATATATATACTTTTATTTTCCATGGGTTTCTATGAAGCCTTATGCACATCCCAAGGTTTGTAGAGGCTTCACTTGCTCGTGGCATGTGGGCGCTTGCTACATCGCCATTGATTACACCCCTGCTTTCTCCAAAACCGGTCACAAGCTGGTTCCCGAGTCTACGACGCCACTTCCTGCGAAGTGGCGCACCATGTCCAGCCAATTTCATCAGAGATCATATATCAAGTGGGCATGGCCTTCGCAGGAGGAACGAGATCGAGCTGGCTACTATCAAATCTATTTTTTTCTTCATCATAAGGGCAGATCATCCATGACTCTGGAGGTGGTGAGGCAGATTGCAGCTCACCTACGGCTGTCCCTCGACCTGATGCAGAGTGTCCATCGACCAGACGAGTTGCAATGTGCTCGGGCAGACATCGGGGTGTTCTTTGTGACTCCGCCTCAGGTGGGTGTGGGTCAAAAGGTTCCGGGCCACCGGCACCTGGGTTTACCTACCCTGGTTTGACCCGAAAATCAGGGTGCCACCCACCGCCAGGTCGTCGCTTTCTTGGATCGTCACTGCCAACCCTACCGCGCGGTCCACATCCTACGAGATCCATTGGATTTGCTCACCTCCGCTTTCGCCTACCATCGGAGCATGGAATTGCCAGTGAACGACACGATCCCCGGGAGCCAACCAGCAGTCTTACGGCGGCTCTCGGTCCGAAGGGGCTTGCTGGTAGAGGCCTATGCAGAGCTGGGGCACACCTTGCATCACATGTTGCAGGTACAGATCCAGGTGCGTGAAAGAGCCTACTGTTTGAGTCTGTTTGGTGAGGATTTGGTCGAAAACTTTGATGCCACACTGCAGCGGATTCTGAAACTTGGGTCCTCGAAGTGGATGACCTTGGGACACGCCATGTGCTTAAACATATTATATAAACACCCCAAACTCACAGGTAGAATAGTAGACCCCTACATATCTCCATACTAAAAAAAATCAAAACATTATTAAACATGTATTGAAAACCGCTTCTGTTTATTTGAGGATCACTGTAATGTCCGTTAAAGCATGACACGTTCCTGCGGCGGAGCATGAGAAATTGCCGTTTGGACCGGTGACCGGGAATGTGAGAAACCTATAGGAGGCCTGGCTTTGGTCATGTGGCCGAACCAACCTGTGACCCCCCCAAAAAAGCAATGAGTTTGAAGAAGCCAAATTCCTGGATGTCGATAGGTTGTGGTTGTGCTTGGTTGAAAAGGTCATGAGATGATTTGTATGTCGGAACATGTTGCCCAACATGAAACATGATATCATATTCACTTCTTCGACTCGTTTGAGGAAACATCTAGTGCCTGGACTCTCCTGGCGTCGGCAGATTACCCTCAAGGCAGCGGCCGCCCAGCTGGACGGGCGCCGCTGTGGGAGCCCCACGCTGAGTGACACACGACTTCAGCCACGGGGACATCAGTCCTTAAAGGCCAGAGCGAAGAAAGCTGTTGGGCTCCTGAAGAAGCAGCAAGGAGAAAGGTTATAAGCTGTTGTGGTTTCAGATGGGTTTTGATATGTTTTGATTTCAGAACCCTTTTGCCAAGCAACCCCACAGGTAGCCAGCGCCCATTATAAACATTTACAGTTTTTTTTTTCTCCCAGAATAGATGGCACAACCCCCAAGATGTCTTGTACGTAATATAGGGGTCCATATGCATCACCAAACTTGGGGATTGTGCCATCTACTCTGAAACCACTGTATGAGCGAAGTCTTATCTTAAATTATATAGTGTATGCTTCATTGTTTCCAATACAAGTTCAGTTCAGCCCAACTTGCCGAGGCAGACGCCTCCCATGAAGGAGATCCTCGACATCCGCCGGCTTTTGGGCTATGACAACCGGGTGGTGGGGCCCAGCAGGTCTCAAACACGACGTGCGGGTGACTATGGTGTGATTGATGGATTCAGTGGAGCGATCTTCGGAACCAACGCGTCGCTCCTCCAAGCAAGGAAACTTGGGTGGCGGTGGCAGATATGATATTGTTGTGTTAAAAGGTTATTTCAAGCTTTACTTGGGATGATTGAACCATCACTGACTTAATTTTGTCAAGTGAGTGGAAACCACCGACCAGGAAATGTTGGGAATGGAATGGGCATTACTTGCTTTTCGACCTCGGTATGGCAGACCGAACCACGAAAAGCATGCGTTGGAGTACAAGAGAATTGTTGAAGCTTTTCAGCTCCAAATGGCTGACAGCTTTGCTGAACTTGACTTTGGCGGGTGAACTGGTGGGTATTTGTGTGAACTTCGACCTGAACTGCTGCGAAGTGCAGGCTTCTTGGGACTTCCTCGCCCGTTTTCTCAGTGACTTGCTGGACTCCCCGCAACGGGCAGCACTTCCGCCGCCGTCCACGGCACGCATTCGAAGCCGACTGTGTTCACAGCCGGCATTTGAAGCCTTGGCGTCACTGCGGCAGTCTCTCCCAACATGGCTCGCCGAGCTGTCATTGCCCGCTCTCCAGGAGAGAATTGCTAAGTGGTATAATTCATATTTTATGATCAACATTTACCCCAGAGGGTTTGCAGATTTAGCATGTTCATAGCAATGTTTAGCATTATTTTAGAGAGAGAGATTGAAACGTGTTGGGGGAAAACATGTTAAGTGCATCGGAGCCACGCAAGTACCGCGGGCATTATTGTTATCAGTTTAATTGGCATTCGACTGAATAGTGACACGCATAGACATGCATAGACTAGACATATTGATCCAACTCAAGTTTGAAGGGGGTGTCTAAGTAGGGAAACCAAAGCATGTCCTGTCCTGTGTTGTTTTCGGAGCAGACAGGAGGAGCTTTTGAGGATGGGATCGCATCCAGAGTCTACGCTTTTGAAGACTGTGAGGACTGCACGAGCTTCATCATCGCGGGAGTTTGAGTTCAACATACAGGACTTGTTATAATTTTCACAAAGTGAAAGGCCAGGTGTGTTTTGCTCAAATTTGTTCCTTCCTGAACTCGAAGTTTTGTCGTTTTGCCAGTGGAATTCGCTGTGAAAGGATTACCTGGGAAACTCCTCATCATTTTGGGATTGAAGAAGGCTGTGAGCACGACTTGGGCAATCGTGGCCACCTGCTCAGAACGAGCAGCGTTGCCTTCGTTACCTTCCGGCGGTCGCCTGTAGCCTAGCTGTGCTTTCGGGTGCTTTCGGTCGTGAACACAGGAGCCTAGGCCGTCAGACTGGCGACCGACCATGATGTTTGCAGAGAGAGAACTTCAAATGCAAATGGATTGCATCAACGGTGTTTCCATGTGTTTCCTACGTGCTGCTGGGTGAATTTGCTTGGATTGAAAAGAAATCCCGGGTGAGCCGGCCAACCCAATGCACCACAGCTGGTCCGGTCGATGCTTGAATGGACATGCTCCTTGTCAGGGAGAAGGTGAAGGATATGGCAAGGCTGTGGCATGGTGTGGGTATTTCGGCTGAAATGAAGGCGCTGCATGGCACCGCTGTGTTCGCGCGAGCAATTTGGTGCAAACCTCACGAAGTCGGCACGATCCTTTGATCCTTTGGATCTCTCAAGACGTGCCAAAAGACGCGGCGCTTCGAAGAGCCGGATGGACGAAGAACATCCAAGAACCGCAGCCCTATGGACGTCCAGGCCCAACAGATTCTGAAAGGTCGATGCTGCCTTGGCTGAGCTGCTGCACTCCACAACGATGGGGTGGAGCAGCTCGGCCGCTGGACAACGTAGATTGCCCGTTCGGAAGCTGTTTGCAGCTGTTTATATACGGCCCGGATTACTCCGCGTGTTACCTTCTCCTGCATCCTTGAGGTGTTTTTGCTATCTAGATTGGTCCGAAATCCCTGATATTCCCTGATAGGTCCAACGGTTGGAGGAAGAAAGATAAGAATGTAAAACATTCCCTAGAATTAGAAGTCCCAAGACGACATTTTTTCCCCATTGAAGTAAAGGAAGGTAAAGGATGTCCCATTACTGGGCTCACCGGAAGACCAGTTTAAGATAGGACCATGGACTCCCAGAGCCCTGGTCATATTTGGGAGGCTGGGAGCTATGAACACAGTACATCACAGTACTATGTTCGGCCATTTTCGGTGTGTCTAGGGCGGTCTTTAAACCTTCCAATGATTGCAATGGCTCTAACCAGTTACGCCCATGGTTCCGTCGTCCACCATGGGTTTTTTGGGGTTGCACCGTTGCTCGAATCAGGTTTGCACCATGGCCGGGGTGCGGGGGCTTGGAGTCGGATGTGTATCTGAGGACTGGCGGCACCAGAGGAGCCGATGGCCTGAGGGTCAGGCCAGCCCAGAAAGAGTTGTGGGTTTGGTCTGTGTGGGTAGGTTGATACATGTTTCCATCGTTTTGGTGAGAACAGTTATGGTATGTGTGGCACAGAAAGTGGTCACAGTGGCATGCGGCAGACAGAGTGGCATGCGGCAGACAGATGTATTCAAGACAGACAGCAAGAGTTACTGTTGTTGCTGCTCCAGATCTCATGTGTTCAGCATTGAAGTGCTACTGTATGACTCCCAGCCCTGAAGCATCTGAAGCACAATGAAATGAGATGACAGGTGCATGTGCAGCGCCGCCATGTCTCTTAAGCTGTCCGAGCTGTTGTGGTTCACCACCCACCTCCAGTTCAAACCATATCCGAGACCATCCAGATTTACCTACATTGACCGCCAAAAAATCACCCCAATGGCATGAACACATGGCAATTGAATTGCATACGCCATACATGGAGCGTTGGGGGTATCCTTTCCTTCACTTGTTACTTGTTTGCGTTTGCCGACCTTCACCGGCTTGGAGCTTCACCGGAGAAAAAACCACCCCATTCACCATCTTCACCGTTCAGATGGGAACCATCCTGGGCTCCGGTCGGGTACAGACTCTGCGGAGCTTCACCGTCATCCCTTTACTTCGCTGGCTCCCTCGGAACATGGTCCCTCGGCCATGCATTGACTCCACCGTCAACCTGAGTCACCGAATTGATTCCAGCTTCAGAATGGGCGGCCAGGGTAGTTCCAATCTTTGGTCGTTCGCTGCCATTCGACCCGATTGAGATTCTTTCGCCTTCCTCCTTTTGCGCCAATGGACCCCTTCTTGCCGGTCGCGTGTGTGCGTGCCAGGACTGCTGTGGGCCATGGAAGGGCAAAGATTGTTGAACCCATGTTAGTTAGATGATGATGCTTTGTCCCCAGACCTAGTAACTATATATAGTAAAGAACATGTAATTAAGAACGACCCATGCAATTACTACAACAACAGCAACCACAACAACAACATTCCCCAAGTCATTCCCCATTGCACTATATAATTATCTCGTACTGATGGTTCCCCTTATGAGGAAGCTCCGTTTCAGACGACCATCACCTCTAGAGGAGCCTGCGCTGGTCTCACTGGGTCGCCCCCGTCTCACTGGGCAGTCTCCCCTGCAGAGCGGTGTCCGACACTGAAAGCGATGTGACGTTGACGGTGCTGCTGGTCTTGGCGGCCGTGCTATGGGTCACCATGTTGAGTAGTACCTTCGCACGGGAGTCGGCGAACGTGCGAGCGAACCGTGGGCGAGACCGGACGTGGAGAGCGCTGAGCTGTTGGTTTGTTTGTTTGTCCGGAGAGCGGGTCCAGCCCAGCTGACGGGCCACGTGTGCAGGCTACATTGATGGTGTTTGACTGCTTTGTGTTTCCTGCAAACACATGATTATACAATATTATGCAGTTCTTATCCAAGCTTATCTATTCTATCGCAGGAATGGCTGATGCAAGCAAACAATACGTGCTGCAGCTTCTGTTTTCTTTGCCCAGGATTTTGCACCGTCCAAGCTTCAAACCTGCCAAGGTATTGCCCTACAGTTGGGCGGGGCGGAGCCTGGTGTGGAATCTACTTATTGGTGGATGGGGGATGAGAAGCCAAAGAAGCCCTCTCGGCGGCGTGCTCGATCATTGGACTAGCCACAAGGTCAGAAGATGGTAAAGCCCCGCTGGAGCCGCTGGAGAGTTCATGGAAGGCATCCTGTGGCTTATGGTCTTGGAACCGATCCGGATTGCTTGTAGTTGCAGTGAGGACGACCGCCGAGAAACGCACGGCATCAACGATGTGAAAAATGAAACACATCGAAGTGGCTTGCCCACTTTTGTTCGATTGACACATGCCGGAAAGCTTACAAAAAATAATGCCCTTGGCCACCCTTGGCGGTTGGCCGTGTTTTGTATTTTTTTTCAGAGGATGTTTGTGCCTACGGGTGTAAAACCGAACGTGTGTTGATGCTACGTGAAAGGTGGGGGGGTTGGGTTGGGGTGGGGTGAGAACATTGTCAGTGTTTTCACGACAAGTAATCTTCGGTTTCATAGCATTGTCATCGGTTTCATAACATTGTCATCGATTAGTCATGTGATTAAAATGGGGTGGGGGGGTGGGGGGGTTGTGATGGAATGAGGATGTGGATGTCGTGCTGAGAACATTGTCATCGATTTCACGACAAGTAATCTTCGGTTTCATAGCATTGTCATCGGCTTCATAGCATTGTCATCGATTAGTCGTGTGATTCGCGGATGGCAGTGGCGTTGGGAAAACACCACGTGTACTAACTTGTGCAAAAAACTGCGCAAGTCTACTTGAGACAGGACGCATGAAAGTTGAGGACAGCCCGGGACAAAAACGGCGACGGATTTTGCGCTGGCGCTTGGGTTTCGGCAGATTCGGCTTTAACAATGAAAGGATCCGGGACCCCAAAAAAACATCATCGAACAAGCAAAAGTACTGAGAGGGCTTGCACTTTTGAATCAACACTTGCACGACTACACGTACGATTCCACACCCGGCGGGATGTTTGTGCTGTACAAACGTTTTATCACTCCGAGGCTGGTACAACAGTGCTGCCTGAGAGCAGGGTTCCTCTGCCATGTTTTCATCATTCATGGGGATGTGCTTGCACCAGTGTCCCATGAAATTCGCGGGGCAGTAGATGTTCAGCACCTGAACAGATTGAGCAATCTGAAAGCTTTGCTTCGTGTCATCGTGGGTTGAACATGTCAACATTTGATTCTTGGCACGAAGAAGAGCTTTCATCCTTGGACCTGCCTGTGTGGACAGGCAGATCGAGGCGCCTTTCAGCAACTCTTCTCCTTGCCAATGGAGCGTGGCACGGTTGGAAGACGAAAGAAATCCGGAAACCGGAAACCACCTGACCTCGATTGACATCAGAATAGGACAGAGAGAGAGAGAGAGGCGGAGAAAAGATAAAACGCACACAAAAATGCAAGAAGGAGGGAGGGAGAAGAGGAGGGAGAGGGAGAGGGAGGGAGAGAGCGAGAGAGAGGGTTGAGCTTTACCTTGTGCATGATTTGAGATGACCTCCCATAAGTGTCAGAAGAATACGTATGTTTGTTCTCAGTCCACATCATTGTCGACCACTCATACCTCTTTGTTCCTTTCTGCATGATGTTTGGATGTTAGAACAAGCTCCCCCAATGAGCCAGTCACCCTGCCCATATTCTTCATTGACACGGACTCTATGGCTTGCTCTCGCTGACTTGAGGACATGTTGTTTTGTGAAACAGTTGATGCCCCGTTTGGGATCCCTGCGCCCACCATTGCGGGGACCTCACCCTGAGGTCAAGGTGCGTTGACCTCCAAGGACGCGTCGTGACCGTGAGGGGTGTCGCTGGTACGGACATGTCCGGGAGAACGGAGTAGGCATGGGATGAGGGAAAGAGCATCTCAGGGCTGTGGGTTGGACAAGAGCTCCTTGATATACAACACCATAATAGGCTATATGTGTTTTTTTTCTCGCTGGCCATGTCAATGTTCATGATATTGCCTTGATTGTTCATGCGTGTGGCCATCGATTTCGCCGTGGCAGCCGCTGCATCGTTTCGAAAGGGGATCAGTCCAAATCAGCGATCGCTTTGTCGGCCGACACCACGTGATCCCAGACAGAACACCCTGGGTCGCAGGTGCGGCTGGTGAGGACGTGTAGCTCCCCAACCATGATCTCCGCCAGGACTGGAACCAACGTGTAGCTCCAAAAGGCACATCGGTGAGGTGGTGAATGAAGGAGGAGATCCCAGACACTCCATGAAAAAAGAACAAGATATAAAAAGCTTTGCACTTGCCGATCGGTTATTGAACACGCGATGCCTATTCTTGGCATGCAAGGCATGCGGACACGGACCGTGGGACGTCGGCACAAGTAGAACCGATCAGTTGGGGGGACAGAGCCATGCCCCATCGTAAGCGCCCGAAAAAAGCACTGCCTTCCGTGCACCATGGAACCCATCTCTGGGGCGTTTGGGGCACATGTTGCCGTACGTAGGGTGTTTTTCTTCCGCTGTGACACATCCTCAGGAAAGAATCTCATTGCCTTATCTCAACTTATCTCATTGAGTTAATTTAGGATTGTATCATGTCTCTGGGTGCACAGTGCATAATTACATATAATTACCTATAATCTCCTGGCTCCAGTCACCTTTTGCGGACGCCACACCAGTTGGATCTCCAAAGTTGAGAGTGGCCTGGCGGCATGTATGCATTTGCAGAGACAAAGCAGTGTGTTTGGGGAACTCTTGAAGGTGTCATGTTCTAAGAGCCCCCCGCGCAGTAAAGAAAAGACTCCGCGCATTCAGGTCGTCCATGATACGCTGTTGGCATCGATGGTTGTTTTTCCTGGCTTTGTCCATGGCGGAACGCTGTGAAGAGGACAGCTCGTTGTTGCTGGGCCATGATTCCTTTGTGATACAGTGCTGTAAGACCGTTAGAAGTTCTGGTGACTAGGTTCAATTGTTTTGGTGTGCGCGATGTCCAGAAAACTCTGGGCATGCACAAATGTAAGCAGCAAGCGGGTGCCTTTGGTGGTGATAAATGCTTTGATCGACAGCCTGCAGTGTTTTTACTTATGAGCCCTCAGCCCGCCTCCAAATGCCTCCAGTCCTCAGGACTATAGGTGACTACTGTTCGGCCTCCATGTGTCCTGTTTGTCCCGTTGGGAACATGCCGAAAAACGGGTCCTGCGGGCGGGTCCAAGGCTTCAGACACGATCCGATGGAGCTCTACAATCGGGGCAACGGCCATGCGAAGCGGAGCTACGACCATGCATGTTCAAGCTTTGCATGCCAAATGATGTCCAAACACGCCGAGAGAAAAAAAGACAAAAAGGTAACCTGGACCCTTCTAACTTCGAACTCACCCCAGATATATATATCCTCAAGAACCACCTGTTTAGAACCTGTGGCTCCCTCAGGCAATGTTATGCCAATGGTGTCCAGTGTCCAGGATTGTTTCCGAGATCTGACTCTTCAACTGTGACTTTCAACATGACCTCCTTGTGCGTCCATGCTTTCGGCTTGTGAGGATCTGAATGCTATCAATGGTGAGGGATGGTGGATGGTGGACGTCACTGTATTTCCACTCGGTGATTCCACTTGGCACACATCCTTTGGGAATGTTGGAAAAAACAGACCGAAGCCTCAGAACTCAACGATCGTCAACGAGTGCTACATTGAGATACATGGAGTAAATGGCACAGTCAACAACCCCAGGTCAACTCAACTTAGATGGAGTATTCTGGAACTGTGTTTGTTAAGCCTATGTACTGGGATGCTCAAGACCCTGACTTCTCAGAGGACCATGGACCCCGCTTTTCAGGACCTCAATGCCCTGAGCTTCACCAGCCTCAGTTGCAAAGGTTTTAGCTGCAGTGGTGTTCAAGTGGAGCTGACCCAAGACTTGCACTGCACCTCCGACTCCACGAACCCGCCCGCCACCTGTGGCCACGGCAACTTCTCCTTCGTGGCGGATCAGATGCGAAGGGAACATGTGGTCAAGTGTGGCGGCTCCGCATGTTATGCTGCCGACTTCAGCTTCGCTCCTGGGCACGTTTGTTTCGTTGGGGTGGCTGCGTTTCGCCGGGCAGCGGGCTGGCGGCTTTGTGGCCAGGTTTATTAAAAGGCATCTAACGTCCTAGGGAAACAAGATACCAAGAAAACGTAGTACATTAGAAAAAGACGATTTTTGTTAAAGGAAAAGACAATGTTTTCCAACATGTGCGTTTTGGATCTGACAGCACGCACCTGAATTTCGGACACAAGTCACCAAATGTCGACCTCACCAAGAACACTTTTCACCCGGATCGAGAGTGAGCCTTCAACATGCAGCCAGGAGCCTAAGAACTCACAAATGGCATCTGGTTGTCAGGGATGCCCAAAAAAAACATAGTTTTAGTACGGGTTAGTACGGGTTCCGTACGGATTAAGTATGGGTTCTCAAAACACAATGTTTTTTTGGGGCAGATCGAAAATACGGGTTCCGTATGGGTTATATAGTACGGGTTAAGTACGGGCTCCGTACGGGATAAATACGGTGTCTTATGTTTTCAGTGAAGGCGCCCTCCAAACTCACAAAAAGCCTATCTCATTTTAAATTACCAACACAGATGGAAGAATCGGAAGAATGCTCGACATTTGGTGACTTGCGGATCCATTAAGGTCCCACGGCACTCACCTGAAAGCAAGATCCGGGAGACAGGTGTTTGTTTGTGGTAGCCGGAGCTATTCTTCAGTGGTTTTGCCAAAAAGACGATCTTTTTTTCAAGAAAAGACAATGTTTTCCATCTCTTCCCTAGAAAAAGCGATGTTTCATCCAGGAGCCTACAAATTGTTAGTGTTTTGCTTCTCTAGGTGCATGTAAATGAATGATTTAATAGATTGAAATTTTCAAATGGGAAATGCTGGGGCGTAAGAAAAACACTTTTGGATCTTGATTTACAAAGTTCCAAAAACTTTTGAGGGAGAGTCTATAGGAAGAGGTCACTGAGCTCACTCAACAGTTCCAGGGGGTACAGGAATTGCTTCTGGCAAGGTAGCACAAGGACCTGCTAGGAATTTAGGAATTCATGTCGTTGTGGTTGTTGTTGTTGTTGTTGTTGGTGGTGGTGGTGGTGGTGAGGGTCGAGAAAAGGAAGAATCAATAAAGACCTTTATAAGAGACATAAAATGAATACATCCAGAAAACACGAAAATACTGTGTTATTTCAATCCCCTGCAACAACTCGTGCCCCTTTTTGCACATCAGGTGCCCACGTTACATCGTATATCTCGGTCCTAGCGTGCCTGCCAGGTTTCCTCCAACATTCGCTTTACCTGCGACTCCAACGGCTTTGACTCTTCGGGTGCTTGCAACAGGTCCAGCATTGCATTGTTGGAATCCAAGACGTGCTTGGACCTCATTTGCGGCGAGAATGATTGCAAAGGTGAGGGCTTGGATGCCTGGGCGGCATGTAATGTGGCAGGAAAACCATGCAGTCAAACACGGCGTTTTTCACAAAAGACCACGTGTAGTAGCGCTAAATAAATTGGTGCGACCAGTTCCAGCTTAGGGCCAGTCTTATCCGTTTTTTGATCACCGTCCACTGTTGCTGGGGGCGAAATGTTTGTTTGTTTCTTTTGAACTTTTTGGAGTATTGCACAATGCTCCTGCAATATCTTTTTGGGGGGGGGGCCCAGACACATCACATGGTGGTCGGAACGCCCATGTGCGACACCCATGTCACCCAAGTGACGCGGATGGTGTTTTTTCAAAAGCGCTGAGGACCAGATTCGTGTACGCATCACTGACCCAGAAACCTCCAAGTGCTACTACCAGGGCCCGGAGCATCGACGACCCAGCATGTGTACTGCCACGAAGTCCCATCAGTGCCCAACAACTTCGCGAGCACGACCGTGCTGCAAAGACGCTGAAGAGACGGATTGTGCAGAATGCTGCACCATCAGGAGCTTAGGGTCAGGATTTATACAAGCAATTGCCAGAGAACGCGCAATGGGCACAGATACCATCACAGCCACTCCCACAACGACCATGTATACCTCCATTACCCAGATACTACTGAGAACCACCAGCTCTACATCTGCCGCCACCACCATCACACAGATCCAACTGACCACCACCACCAGCACAGCACCCCCCACCACTGCAGCTCCAACGCCGCGTCGTGAACGACGCGCCAAACGCCGAGCGCAGCGGCGACAGCAGCGCCAGGCGAGGAGGCGGTGACAGCCGGGCCCACGGAAGCTTCCAAAGCTTCAGTGACCGAAAGGGGACGGTTCGACCGAAAGAACCCGCCTATATACCCCCCCAAAAAAGAAGGTTCCTTGCTTTGAAGGTGAAGGAGGTCCCCCAGTATGGGCCCTCCTACGTTCGATTGAGCGAGTGAAGAGGATCAATGCACCGGACTTCCCACAAGTGGACGCGAGAAAAGGCGAGGCTTGCTGCTCCAGTCCCTCCAACAAAGCCTGGAGGATGGGATACCTATCAAAAAGAAAATGGATTCCAATTCCTATCAATAAAAAAATTGATTCCTATCAAAAAACATTAATGCATATCAAATATTCCCACTACTCCTTTGGTCCTGGTCTGCTGGTTCCCTGGTCGCTTGGTCCTTTGGTCCCTTTATCCCCTGGTCCCTTGGTCGTCTGGTCCCTTGGTCCTCTGTTCCTTTGGTCCTTCGTCCTGGTCTTCGGGTCCTTGGGTCTGTACTTTCGATGCAAGACGCGTTCAAGGTGATTTGGACATTTGGTCATACATCCTGTGAAGCATTGTAGCAGACCTTGTATCACCAGACGTAGTAGACCTTTCTTGTGGGCCACCCTGACGGTAAAATGTAGACGAAGAAGGTGCCATTCCAAGGTAGCAAGCCTTTGGTGAGCCACCTGAGGGCAACATTTAGAAGAAGAAGGAGCCGTTCCAACGTTGCAGACCTTTTGTTAGCCTTGCGAGGTTTAAACTTAGAGGAAGAAGTTGCCATTCCAACGTAGCAGGCCTTTGTTTTGTGAGCAGCCAGGTAGAGATTGCTATTCCAACGCAGCAGACCTTGTGTGAGCCACCCGGGGATGAACTTTAGGTGCCACGCCAAGGTAGCAGACCTTTTGTGAGCAAACTTTAGAATTTTAGAGGAACAGTAGACCTTTTGTGAGCCACGCAATCTCAACTTCGAGGTTCACGAAGTGCTGCGCCTGCCATGAAATCTGCAGTTCCAGTGCACAAAGTGCTGCGCCTGCCGCGGGCCCTGCAACTGAAGGTGCTCAATCTGCAGTTCCAGTGCACAAATTGCCGCTCCTGCCACGAAACCTGCTACTGGAGGTGATCAAAGTGCTGTTGCCTGCCACGAAATCTGCGCTTCCAGTGCGCAAAGTGCCGCTCCTGCCACGAAACCTGCTACTGGAGGTGCTCTAAGTGCTGCGCCTGCCACGAAATCTGCACAAACTCTTCGTGAAGTGATATTTTGTGTTTGATACCAATTAATTCTCTTTGTGATAGGATATCGAAAATGTTCTTTTTGATACTGTATATTATTTTGTTTTATGTTCTTTTTGATAGCCCAGCCCTGGAGGACTTGCTTGAGCGTTTTCATGGAGGACTTGGTTTCATGGACTTGGAACACTTGGTTTCATGAAGGACTTGGTTGGTCGGTTGGGTGGGTGTCCAAGTCTTCAGTGTGTTCCCTACGTGGCGTTCCGGTCCCCAAGTCACCTTCAGGTGGCCAGGCGTCATGCGGGTCAACATGTGCTTCGACCCCCCAGCGGCGAACGAGGGTATTCGGAGGCGAACAAACACATGTTGTTTCCATCGCTATTATATTAGTAACAAGAAACTACTAGTAGTTTCTTGTTACTCATAGCGATGGCCTCCAGCCTACTTTGCGATGACCTCCACCAAATAGCGTCCTTGCTACTAGCAATAGTTTTTTTTCTCCCAGCTGTTGGGGAGACTGCGTTCTTTCTGTTTCAGCTGCTTGTCCAAGTTAGATGTGCAAGATGAGGTCACAAACACCAAGGCTTGGCATGCACGGGACAACTCTTCGCAGATTATGGGGACACGTCGGACACGTGCTGTTTCTCCAGCCGTTGTATGTGCATGCAACATCATGCAACTACTTTTTACCTATGGTGCACAACGCCCCCCCTGCTTAACCAAATAGATAGATATAGACAGATAATGTAGAGTTAAAACATTTGGAAGCATGACAAACACCAAAGCAGACACACCCAGACACACGCTATATAGTCAAATAGTTATATACAGTTGTTTACTAGAGAACAACATTTATATATATAATATTTATATAGATACAATTACACATCCTGATGACTTTCCTACACACACACACCTTGTTCCAGCTCGTAGCTTTGCTTGTGATGGCAGTGTGGGTGGCCTACACTGTGGTGGCACTGCTCATCGCGATCCAGAATCGAGCCACCTGGGTTGACATGAATCTTCACACCGTTGGGGACCAATCACTTCATGGAATTTCAAAGGTAGACCAACACGTTGAAAGGACTCCTCTCCACAATGTTGATTGCGTTTTGCACGCCTTGCCCAGAGAAATTCCCCCATCATGTTTCAGCCAGATCATCATTGCCAAACGTAACTCCCATGTTTACTAGCACCGGTGAAAAGACCTCGACAGACCCAAAGGACTTACATATGTGTCTTTCACCTGAGGAGTTCTTGAGCTTTGACCAGAGTCTACTGCTGATTTCCTGGCCTTCCTGTTGTGCTTACCGACTATCACAACGCAAGAAGGATGGCCGCAAGAAAGTAAAAGCGTCCGGGGAGAAATGGGCAGCACGACTGCTCCAAGCCTGTGCGCTTCTGCCGCTTGGCCAATGAAATTGCTTGTGGAGGAGGAGGGCATCATAAGATGTTGTAAGTAGGGTTAGCTGGTGGCGATTGTCAGTACCAATACCTGTGGAACTCGACGAGCCTGACCCCTGAAACATTGGACGTGGAAACCTGTGCGCTTGTCACTTCATCCATTTACGCTGATGACTGTTGAGAGTTGGGTCCTTTTTGGGGTTATTGTTGTGTAACTATTCCATACATGAATGGTTTGGGTAGCACCACCACTTTGACGTGCATTGTTCTCTACAATTGCATTGGACTGTCTCAGAGACTAAGCAGCCCTCAATATGCCTCGATGGTGTTTGATCTATTTTGTCGGGTGGATGTTTCATTGACAGGAGTGCATCCAAATACATCTACAGCAGTTTCGGAGTAGATGGCACAAAACCCTACATGTCTTGTAGATGGTTGTCCATATAAACAACCGGTTAGGAACTGTCATCTACATCCACTGTAACGGAAATACAAGCAGGCAGGCTTTGTGTGACTGTGGATTGTGGATGCTGCGATCCTTGGTCATGAAGAATTCATCGTTGCGAACAACCACGGTGGAGCATGACGACATAATTTAGTCCCAATGATTCTTACACCAGGGTGGAATCCCAGACGTTTCAAGGTAAGGCATGTCTATACAGCTGATCCAAACCCAAAAGTCATTCACACCTAGAACATCCTGGAGCTGAGGAGTTCAGGGAGTATGCTGGCAAGACATTTCTTGGAGCTTCCCTTGAATGCTACTGCGGTGCTCCCCTGGGCCTCGCTCATGTCCTTGGCATACATGACGGTCCCAGTTCCCGAGTGCCTTGGCATCAAGATCTCCTTTGATATTTATTGTGTTTCCTACTACCTGTAAAAGTAAGGAAGCAATTATCACACATCACTATTTTTGAACAAGGCCTTTACTAACCATCATCATCCACTGCTACTGGTAGATATCTACCTGAAGAACCCTGTTTGGTTGGGAGAAGTTGAAGACGGGTTGTGTCTCGGGGGGGGCAACGGCATCAGTTTGAGACATGTGTTTGACAGGGTAAAGTCAGTTTTTGGGCTTCAAGCATGTACAAGCATCCTGTACAGCTGTAGCTGGCGAACGTAGACTCAGAAAAGAAGCCAACAATTCCACAACGACCTTGCTTGGTCTGAATCATGACCATGAAGCCATGCAACCATTGTCCAGGATGCCTTTGGACGATTTCGTCCCATGGTGGTCACTGTTTGTGATTCTAGTGGCAAAAGTTGTTGGTACCGAAGAGATGCGTACAGCACTTGGTCTTCAAGCAGGGCGCCTTGATGGGGGCCCTTTGGCATGGTCGATCTTGTACCTTGGAGCAATTCATGCCTTCCTGTCTTGTTCAAGCGCAGGGTTTGGACATGTGACGACTGAGTACCTTTATATCTCATCATATATCACTTCATATATCATATATCCCAGAATGGTCGAGACATCAACCAGTCTTTTGGGAATACAGCAGGAGCATTGCACCAAATGCCTTTTGCTGTTTCTGCCATCGTTGACCTTCTTTGTGTACGCATAGAACCCCGTGAGGTGTGCGATCATCTCCACCTTTGCGTTGGTTGGATGGTCTTGCTATGTACGAGGTGACCACGGACCAATACAAAACGCATTGGCACCATTGATGTCTCCGGTTACCGTGTTCCCCTTTGCAGTGCTCAACGCGCTGCGAGACTTTTGGCAGAAAATTGCCTGCCAATTTGCTGACCAACAGTCCGTCAGAACAGGTGCATGATACAAAATCTAAACTCCCAAACAAAACGGATGAAGATCCTGGGCTTTCCACTTCAACTTCTGCTGTTCTTAAGGGATTTGCCAACCTTCATTCCAGAGTCATGGGTTGTTTCCGAAACGGCGAGAATAGTTGACAAGCTTTTGTCGTTGAATGACTTAGCTCTGCTGTATTCTCCAGACACTGGATGGTGTGAGGCCAATTTACATGTGCCACTGTCCATGTGTGTGTGTGTTAGTATAGATGCCTTTGCTTTGTCCCCGTTCGAGACAGGTGTTTTTCTGAAACAGCTAGGAGCCAGGAGCGAAGTCGAGGGGCAGCTTTGAGGGGTAGGGCCGGAGAGTTCTTTCTTCCACTCAACTTGGTTGGGTCCAAGCATGGCGCTGTTTGGCCTTCCGGAGGCCTCCATACCCCATTCTTCTACTGTGGGCCAACACCTAAGGGCCTAAGGGCTTGGGCCACTGGTGAAGAACATCGATCTTCCGTCGCCAGTCCACCCAGCACCGGTCACGCTTGGGCCAGGGGCGAACACCTCTGATTCGGGCGTGGCTCCGTTCCAGCACCGGTTCGATCGACCGAGGAGGAGCTGCAGTTCCGCATGGTCTTCTTGGGCGCCTTGAGCCTTAGACGTCGGTCTAGTGGCGGTCCTGACTGAGGAATCAATGGACTGGTTCAAGGCAACATCGTAGAGGAAACTGCGGTTTGAATCCCCCAATCTACGGGTTTTCTGTAGATGTTCCTTTAAACCGGTTCTGGGAAGGAAGCCGCTCATCGTTCGAAATCTCCGCGTTACAAGGGTCAGTCTAGCTGGGCTTTTGTATTTTGATGAGCAGAGGCGGCCGAAGAACTAGAGACTCCGCAGACCAGGCGACCCATGGTGAAGATGGGGCGAAGTCTGGCAAGCTGAGACATGAGTCACGTGCATGCATGAGTCTTGTTCAGTCCAGTCTTGTTTTGATGAGAAATTTACAACTTGAAGCAGGGTTGGTCCTGATCTAAGGATTGCTGGTGAAGCCTCCAAGTGCATTCCCTTGATGGCCTATCAAATGGCAGTGCACTCGGGCTATTTCGCCTTGTTGCATTTCTTAGGCGGCTTCCCCACTGGCAAAAGCGGCTTCCCGGTCAGCAAAAAGACTTATACTCTAGTTGTTGCGGGGGACAGCGTTTGGGCACCATGGAGTGGGAATCCAGTGTTGGGCCTTGATTGTTGGATCGTCCCTGGTTCTTGCCAGGTTGAACCTATACTTTTAGAGTAGAGAAAAGCTGCAATCGAAAGGATCGCAAAGGCTCAAAACGTCGAAACTGCCGTCTGAGGTTTCGCTTTGGTCTTCACTTGGTCCCTCTTTTTGGATCTCCTGCGAGTCTGGAGTGGTGGGATGGCCTTCGTCTTCTTGTTGCACGTGCAGGCGGATGTGGCGATCTTCGTGCTGGTTTGGTTGGAAGATCAACGGCGCAAGGCGCGTGCGGAGTTGTGAGAGGTGCGATGATGGGCGAGGCTGCAGAGGATCAACTTGGGTCGCCGCAGCTACGGATTGAGTTAGCTTATGGCGCGAGCTTTAAGTGATTTCCAAGGCGTGAATCACTGAAGCACTAGTTGAGATGAAAGTGTCTGGAGGTTGTAGGACTTCGCCCGTGGACATGTGTTCCAAAGACCAACTGACGCCTCGATCAGGAGGCTTTGTGTGTTTCTGGGAGCCACCGGCACAGCTCCACGGGTGGAATCCATTTCCCTTCCACCAAGCTTCCCATGGTGCAGTGGGGATAGGGCTGGGATGGAGCTTGGGATGGCGCGAGCGAGCATTTGTTTGGGGTCCAAGAATCACAGCAGATGGCCAGAGAGTCGAACCATATTTAGAAGATTTAGAAGTCTACTCTCCTTATAGTGGAAACCTGGTTGTGCAGACAAGTAATGTAAAAACAGGTTCATGTTCCACTTCCCTGGTTCTGAGTGACACTGTAGGTGACACACTTCTCTTTCGAACTCATCCTTTGGATGACACTTCACCCCAATGCTTGTGATGTGTGCAGATCTGGAGCGATGCTTTCGTCACGAAGGTTCAATGATGTTCAATGATTTAGTCACTTCAAGCTGGGAGTTTGACGGAACATGGTGTTCGTTACTGATTTGGAAAGCCACCTAGCTGATTTGCTTTTGATAGAGGTGCAGGAAATAAAGGATCGTCATTTTTGCAGAGGGGCCCTGCCATTTGCTTCATGTGACTCGCACTTCGTGCGCAGGATGAGGTGACACGTCACATCGAGACAACCCAGAAAGAACTCGCATGTCTCGAAAGAACTCGCATGTCTCGAAGACCATGTGACCATTGGTGACCATTGACAAACCCCTCCCAGGTGTCGTCAATAAGTCCAACTGTCTCCAAGCGAGCGCCCCTTCCTCCTCGTGTTTGGGTGTATCACACTGAGTGCGCAGGTTGGATGCAGGAGTTGATGCAGGTCCCAGCAGGGTGGGTGCTGCTTGGCATGTGTTTCTCGGGGGGGGGCTTCCGGATCCTGAACAACAAGATTCAGTGGAACTTTATGAGTCGTTTGTAAGGATTGGCGTCAAGGTTGATTACCCTACCTGGGGGCTGGGCCTCGAAAACCCCGCCCACCGATGTTGATGCACGACCTTGGGAGTTTGGTCCGCCAGGCAGTTCTGCTGAAAGGCAGCCTATGGGAAGGCGCCCAAACATGCCTGGCGTCGCCGAAGTGCCGCGACTTCGCGAGCTGTCCCGACCTTTGTTGCCTCGTTGTGACCTCGTTTGTCCCTCCAAAGACTTGGAGTGAAAGGTTTTGCAGGTGACCAAGGCTGACAGGGCTTTCAGGAAAAAGTGACCCCTCGAAACACTCTGAGAGGGCTGGGGCTGGGCTTGGCCACAAAGGCTGGATATTGGAAGTCTTTGGTAACAGATGGGTTGGTGCCTGCTTCAACATGGAAAGAACGATCGGTAGTGCGGGTCGTAAAATAATGCTCCTCCAGTGATGATTGACAACATGTTTTTCCGGTTCCTTGTGTGCCAGAGGTAGCCGACAGACAAGTAAACGCCTCGTGACGAATACATGACTGTCCAGTAATTGGATTTTGTTGCTTGAAACTACGTACTTGAAGCCAATATTACTCGGCTTGCACCCTTTCCAGACAAATTGACATTGACCCCTGGGAGCCTGACAGCTAGCATGCCCAACAAAGAGAAGGTGTTGGATGCGTGTTGGTTCTATCGACCCCGTATCGATCCTGCAGGTCTGGCGACGGAGGTAGGCAAGTGGGTGTTTGGTAATAATAAAGGCATTTTGCTTTTTCTCTCCCCAAACAGTGTTCCTGTGTGACATAATGAAACTCTCCACAAGTATGAACAAGTACATTCATGATCGTTATCATTCATGCAATCTAGCTTCTATGTAAATTATATACCAGCTGCTTCCACCGGGTCACCAATGGACAACCCTGCACTACTTATAGGTTTCCATTGGGCACCCATTGGAAGTGCTATGTAGATGCATTTCTTGGAACATGTTTTGGGACTCCCCTCGACCCACTCAAACAAAGACACAGTTGATGGGTCATCGATCTGATGTGCCAGTGAGCAAGGCAGCCCTGGAGCCTTGCATTGCTCCACGCCAGAGGCAGCTTTGGGTTTGGAGTATTGCATATATGATGCCATGGTGTTTTCAGAGCAGTTTGCAAAATTCATAAACCGGGGGACCTATGGCAGAGGTGCGCAGACCTGGCTACAGGCACAACAGTTGACGGACACGTAAAGTGAACACAGATGTTCAGTTGAATTTGCTCCGGCGACAAAAACATATTGTTGCCATTTGTTGCCCATTTGTCATGGATCCCAACTGCTTAGAGGGTTTTTAGCCAAGTTTGTTTCTGCAACATCGCAGCAATGGCTTGAGTAGCGAGTAGTGCAGCATGCATGTCAGGGACGCATCGGCCTACAATGACAGACACTGGCACTCACAGATTCGCCCGACCCCGACCCCTGTGACAACAATGCATTTAGGCTTCCCTCCAAAGCATGCATAAGAAGAGGTATAGTTACATTTGGGAGCCGCGTTGACTTCTCAGCGGTTGTTGAACAGACCCGCAACAACAATGTCCTCATCCTAACGACATTCACAGCCTGCAAGTCACAAGCGCTTCACTGCCTGCCTGGTTGTTGAAGTTGATGCTCCAGACTTGTTTCATCGTATTGACCATGTCGTTTTATGGACGTGTCAAACTCTGCAAAAACATGGAGCCATGCCCCACGCCTTTTTCTCTCCAGAGCGCTCGGCCACTGCCCGCCGCGCTGGCCGGCGGGACGGGCATGAGACGGTGTCGCCCTCCCCGTGTCGAGTCTGCGAGACGTCGCGATGCGCTGGCTGCTTTCGTTTGCACCGGCGCTTGGCGCTGCTGGAAGAGCAGAAGGCGGAGCTGAGCTCATATGCGGCGGCGCAGCGCGAGGAGTTGAAGTACCTGAGGGAAAGGCATGAAAGGAGCCGAAGGGGCTTGCGGAGCTGGGCTGGTGGTGAGATCTGATCCGGCCCTTTTAGGGGCAGAGGCAGGACAATCTGATTTGTTTTGCAGTGGTGGTGGTGCTTTCTTGGAGCCAAAGCAGCATATAAGCCAAGTTTAAGTCATGTGTGTTGAGTCGTGGTGGATGTTGAGCCCGGCAAGCTGAGCCCGGCAAGCTGTGCACAGGTGCATCATCGCTCCAAACATTGGAACTGGACAGCCTCGGTAGAAATTGCTTGGACAACCAGGGCCGTTTCTGTGGGATAGAAGATCAATCTTCCAGGTATTGGTGCATCACGACCTTCCCTACAAAACATGGAAGCTTGTAGAGGAGATATGTCTTCCAAGGTCCAAGACCATGTTCATCAACTTTCCACTTTCCACTTCAAGGTTTGTTTGTGGGAGGGCAGCCGTGTTTGCTTCACGGTCCGCCATTAGCTCCCACAGGAGCTCTGTGCATGAGCGTGAGCGGCTGGAAGCTGAAAAGCATGGACTGCAGGAGATCCTGGAGTCCTTCCGCACAGGGGCAGAGCGGCAAAAGAAGAAGGAGTGGCAGAAGGAAAAGGACCTAGGGACTGGGGAGTCATGAAAGAGGTTGAGTGACATATGTCCAATTTGGGCTGCTCTGATGAAGGAAGTTGAAGCCCTCCCACAAAGATGGCTTGCGAGGAGCCAACATACATGTGTAGGGTTGGTCTTTGGCCCTTTGAAGGTTCACTTTTTGGGGGTGGTTTGGAAAGGGTTGCGTTTCTTGTAATCCCGATGTGCAAATGGTTATCACACTTGACCTTCACAAAACGGGGTATGTTTTAAAGCACCTACCACTCACGTTGTCTTGTGGCAATATCGGTATTGAGGATTGCTGCTTGAGCATTTGTTTCGATCTTTGGGTGCTGGAAGACATGGCGCATCCAGCTGGAGACCATATTGGGTAATTCAGGACGCCTTCCCATTGACCTTATAGGACCCGTCACCTAGGGTACCTATCCGCCACTCCGTGGGACTGGCAGATTGACATACAGAACCGAGTGGTTGAAAAGGGGTCAATGTAGAAGGTAAATATGCCATACACGGAGTGTTTGGGTATGGGATAGTCCATAGGGTTCTTCAACCTCTGGAACAACCCCACATGATGTTTCGAGACGCCTTTCCTTGTTTCCAGGAAAGCCTTTTGGCGGAGCTGGCGAAGGCCACTTCTCAGGTGAAAGCCTTGGAGGAAGAAGAAGAGAGGCGACCAACCTGAGACGTGTTTCATTCACTCTCCTCAGCCAGATGTCCTGGCTAAAATGATCCTGATTTGGAATTGAGCCAGGAGTTTGGAGGGGCATATATGGATGTACTGATGTACTTGACAAAATCTCAAAGGCTTTTGATGGCTCTCGGTGGCTAGTGTTCTCCTGACTCTTCTTTCCTTTTGGCTCCTGTAGATGCTACTTTGACCAATAATGTACCTGCATCGCCCTGCATGGCCCTGCATCCCACCTCCCCGAACATGTCCCAACAATTCCTCACTTCCATCACCTATCCTCGCGTCTCCGGAGGCGCAAGGACAAGCTCCACAGCAGCTCCCTGCATGCCCAGCAGCTCCAGGATGAACTCCTCCAACTGCGTCGCTCTCTCAACGCGCTCCGCTCCACCAGCTCGCGCGGCCCACCTTCACCGCGGTGCCGGAGCTCCGCAACGGCGCCGAACGGCGCGGAGCTGCAGCTGTTGGTGGAGCAACGGAAGTTGAACAGCGAGAAGCTGCAAGGGGCGCGAGATGACCTGGAGAAGTTGCGAAGGGAGACCTGGAGACCGACGGTGTGACCGGTGGTTTGTGTGACTGGTGGTCTTTCACTGGTGTGGCACTTTTGGGAAATTACATGTTCACTTAATTAACATGGTTTAGACGGTGGAGTCTACAGTCTACATATGTTGAGGAATGAGGTAGAAAAGTTTCTTGATGGTGATAGGTAGACATGGACTAGAGTATGC